TAAACATATATATTATGTATATATATATATATATATACATGCATATATTTTTATTTATAAATATTTTGCACATATTTTTATTTATCTCTCTGTTTGTTTATTTATTTATTCTTGTCTAATTTTTACACACACGTACATAAATGTATATACATATATATATATATATATGTATATGTAGATATTATATATATATATATTATATAAACATATAAAATTATTACTCATATATATATATATATATCACAGATATACAATACATATACATTAATCATATATATATATATTTATATTTATATTTATTTTGTTATTTATATATTTATGCGTATATAGACATATTTACTTATCTGCACTAGAGTGCATATATATTTATACACTATATATATACATATTTATTTGATTACATATCTATATATATATATATATATATTTAAATATATATATTATCTAATCATACAAAAGAGACATGAACAGAAAATAAAAAGCAGCAAATTAAACCCCAGGAGACATCTTCTCCTTTTGTGTGTTGACGCAACACCCTAATTATGCTGCTGCTGTTGCTGCTGCTGCTGTTGCTGCTGCTGCTGCTGCTGCTGCTGTTGCTCCTGCTGCTGTTGCTGTTGCTGTTGCTCCTGCTGCTGCTGCTGCTGTTCCTGCTGCTGTTGTTGCTGCTGCTGCTGTTGTTGTTGCCGTTGCCGTTGCTGCTGCTGCAGCTGCGGGTTGTGTTGCTGTGCTGTAGTTTCTGCTGCAGCAGCAGCAATAAAATCACAAAGATTATTTTGTTTGTTTGCTTGTTTGTTTGTTTGTTTGTTTGTTTTATTTTGTTTGTTTTATTTGTCTTTTGTTTAGAGTCCTCATTTCCTTCGCTTTGTATTTGCTAAACCCTAAACCCTAAACCCTAAACCCGGCTCAGTTTCTCGCCTGCCTGAGACCCCTCCGTTCATACACCTAAACCCTAAACCCTAAACCCTAAGCCTTCAACCTTAAGCCTAACCCTGGAGACTAGCCACTAAACCCTAAACCCTAAACCCTAAGCCCTAAACCCTAAACCCTAAACCCTAAACCCTAAACCCCTAAACCCTAGCCCCAGCCAAACAAATCGATGGCATCGCTGTGCATTCAATAGGGAGTCTTCAGTTCTTTAAAAAGAATGAGTACTAAACCCTAAACCCTAAACCCTAGACCGAAAGCCCTCTATAAACCCTAAACCCTAAACCCTAAACCCTATGATCGGAACGCTGCACTTTATGCGCTAAGTCCTTAGTCCTAAGCAGATAAAAATCCCAATCACAAACCCTAAACCCTAAACCCTAAACCCTCAGCAGCAGACGAGGAGGGCTAGTGGAAGGCTAAGACACTACAGCGACATTATAGCTAAGTAATCAGGGTCTAGGGTTTGCGGTTTTATGTTTTATGTTTTAAAGTTCAGGGTTTAGGGTTTAGGATTTTAGGGTTTAGGGTTTAGGGTTTAGGGTTTAGGGCTTGAAGAAGAACAAGAATTTATATTCAGCAGACGTAGGGGTGGTGGGGTCGGTGGTAGCCCGGCATAGGTCTACCATCTTAAATCCTAAACCCTAAACCCTAAACCCTAAACCCTAAAACTTAAAACCCTAAACCCTAAAACCTAAACGCTGAATACTAAATAACTCGCAAGCGCTAAGGCGGGAGCCTCGTGCGGTGACCACAGGGGGGCCCAGCCCCCCGGCGCAGCTTATTCTAAACCCTAAACCCTAAACCCTAAACCCTAAACCCTAAACCCTAAACCCTAAACACTTGGCAGCGGTTGATACAGGCTGCTTTTTACGGGGGGTTACACCCAGAGATTATTCTGCAGCGGTTCGCTGCCTAAACCCTAAACCCTCGACAGCAAACCCCAAAGACTAAACCCTAAACCCTAAACCCTAAACCCTAAATTATCAAACCAAGGGGCTATGCGCCAGAGGGTGAAGTGGTGTTTTCTCTAAAGAGGCAACATGGCGAGCCTCCCATCGGGCCGGCAGGTAAACCCTAAACCCTAAACCCTAAACCCTAAACCCTAAACCCTAAACCCTGAAGCTAAACCCTCAGGCTTGTTGCGCTTCAGTATTGACTGTTGGGGGTTTGTGTGTTTTCTTTGGCGGAGTCTGGACGCTCAAAACCCTAAACCCTAAACCCTAAACCCTAAACCCTTTTCTGTGTGTACAGCCGTTTGGCAGCCTGGCTGCTATGGAGAGACCTGCAGACGCGCCTCTCAACGTAAGAACACTGAAACCCTAAACCCTAAACCCTAAACCCTAAACCCTAATCGCTTCCGCAGATGGAGGTGCCGTTCAGATTGGTATGCGACCACCACCCACGGCATTCGTTGTGATGGGTGGGATTAGGGTTTAGGGTTTAGGGTTTAGGGTTTATGGTTTGCATATGGGTCTCAGCGCGTCGCTCTCTGTCCACGTGGCGTTGCTGGTGTTGCTGCACACCCCGTTCCAGCAGCAGCAGGAGCAGCAGGAGCAACAGGAGCAGCAGCAGCAGCAGCAGCAGCAGCAGCAGCACCAGAAGCAGCAGCAGCAGCAGCAACACGTAGCCTCGTCGGTAAAACCCTAATTGCTGCTTTCTTCAATGACATGCAATCTGCTATTTCAAACAAACTCGGAGCACAAAATGCCTTCGATATTAATCTAATAGACAGACTCTCCGCACTTATACGGTAACCTCTAGGGTTTAGGGTTTAGGGTTTAGGGTTTAGGGTTTGGGGGGGTAAGGCTTAGGGCGTAGGGTTTGGGGTTTAGGGTTTGGGGTTTGAGGGGGGAGGTTTTGGATCTAGGATATAGGATTTAGGGTGGGTGGCTTAGGGTTTAGGGTTTAGGGTTTAGGGTTTAGGGTTTAGGGATTTGCGTTGATGCGTTTTACAGGCAAGAGTTAATAACAACTGCCGATGAAGAAGCTGTGAGTTGCTGCTGCTGCTGTTGCTGCTGTTGCAGTTGCTGCTGTTGCTGCAGTTGCTGCAGTTGCTGCTGTTGCTGCTGCTGTTGCTACGGATACTGGTAGTTCTGCTGCTCTTGCTGCCTTTGCTGCTGCTGCCTTTGCTGCTACTGCTTTTGCTGTTGCTGCTGTTGCTGCTTCTGCTGCTGCTGTTTCTGCTGCTGCTATTTCTGCTGCTGCTGCTGCTGCTGCTATTTGCGTTTACATCTCTCAGCAGCCGGTTGGCGCTGCCGCTGTCTGTGCAGCGGAGCGCCCCTAAACCCTAAACCCTAAACCCTAAGAGTTGATTATTATGCGCTTGCTGCTGCTGCTGCTACCGCCTTTGCTACTGCTGCTGCTTCTACTGCTACTGCTACTACTACTGCTACTGCTGCTGCTGCTGCTGCTGCTGCAGGAGCAGCAAAGACAAGAAGACAGAGAGGGTTTAGCTGCAGCAGAGACAGACAGAGTCTCCTTCTCGCACCTCTCGTCTGCAATTGAAGGCGCAACAAAAATATATGGGTATCGAGTTGAAGCTGTCTATGATCAAACATACACCGTAAACCCTAAACCCTAAACCCTAAAGCCTTAACAGTAGTTGGATATCGAGTTGAAGCTGTCTATGATCAAACATACACCGTAAACCCTAAACCCTAAAGCCTTAACCCTAAAGCCTTAACAGTAGTTGGATATCGAGTTGAAGCTGTCTATGATCAAACATACACCCTAAACCCTAAACCCTAAACCCTAAACCCTGAGTTCGCTCTAGGCTGAAAGACGTCAAGGGTGACGCCTTCAGCCTAAACCCTAAACCCTAAACCCTAAACCCTAAAGGCAATGGGGTGTATATATAATGTGCTGGTTTGTCTGTAAAACAGCTGTTAAATGGTTTATGTAATACTAAGACATTAGGAGGTGAAGACGAACAGAGAGATCTATATGCAATCAAGCGACAGCAGCGGCAGCAGCAGCAGCAGCAGCAGCGTCTCAATCTGTTCTTTAAAGGGAGCTGCAGCACCCTTGCAGATCCAGAAGATCTCGTGCAGAGTGAAAACGAATTGGGAGAAGCAATTGACCCATTCTTCGTGTAAACCCTAAACCCTAAACCCTAAACCCTAAACCCTAAACCCTTAGTCCCAACCGAGCCGTCAAACCCTAAACCCTAAACCCTTAACACCCATCATATTTCACGCTTCATAGTATGTAAACTGCAGGTCTGTAAGGTGGTGTAACACACCCCACACCCCACCCCTGTGCCCTTAGGGTTTAGGGTTTAGGGTCTAGGGTTTAGGGTTTAGGGTTTGTGTGTAGGAAAATGGCTAGTCTATTTGACCAGGCGGGGGTTAAGGGTTTGCTGCTCGCTAATCTACAGCTTGATAGTAAATTAGGGGTTCGAATGTATGGAGAGCTGCCTGCGCTTCCAGCAGCGACAGCAGCAGCAGCAACAGCAGCAACAGCAGCAGCAGCAGACGAACTTGACCCCAAGGCCCTACTCGGTGGGCTTCTGCGAATCCCCTTTGCTGCTGCTGCTGCTGCTGCCGTTGTTGCTGTTGCTGCTGCTGTTGTTGCTGCTGCTGATCGACATGTTGATGCTGCTGCTGCTCTAGCTGCTGTTTCTGCTGCTGCTGCTGCACGAGATGCTGCTGCTGCTGCTGCTGCTGCTGCTGCTGTTCTTTTCAAACGATTATGGGTGCGTTGCTGCTGCGGGGTGTCGCATTATCTGACTTCGAACCCCTTTTCAGGGTTTAGGGTTTAGGGTTTAGGGTTTAGGGTTTGCTGCTGCAGATTTGGTGTTGGGGGGATCGACAAACCTCCAAATTGAATCGACAATCTGCGGCCCAGAGATTCTGCATTTCACGCAGCAGGTGGAGGCGTCAGTCTAAACCCTAAACCCTAATTCCTAAACCCTAAACCCTAATTCCTAAACCCTAAACCCTAAATACTACATTTGAATTCCTGAACTTGGTGTTTAAACTCAGTCCAAATATTATGCTCTAGAAGAAGAAAGAGGCTACATTATATATTTAGGGTTTAGGGTTTAGGGTTTAGGGTTTAGGGTTTGGTGTTTGCAAATGCAGCCTGCGAAATGAGTTACACGGAGAGCTGCCGGAATCAACTGAAGCAGAGCAAAGCCTCTCCAATGTCCGTCGAGGGTTTAGGGTTTAGGGTTTAGGGTTTAGGGTTTAGGGTTTTCCGTGTGCATACGTTCGGGCGTCTCTCTGTACTTAGCATTGAGGCTGCTGCAGCACTTGCTGCAGCTGCTGCTGCATTCATCTCGATGCCCGTGTTGCTGCTGCTGCTGCTCTTTCTGCTGCTGCTGCTGCTGCTGCTGCAGGGTTTAGGAGCGATGGGTGCAGAAGAGGCAGAGGAGGAAGAAGGAGGTGAAGATTTGCTGCTGGGGTTTGACGATGCTGATGCAGCAGCAGACGAAGCAGCAAACGCATGGGAGCAGCAGCAGCAGCAGCAGCAGCAGCAGCAAGAGCAGCTGCAGCTACCAGATCAAGACACCTTAGACCAGCAGCAGCAGCAGCAGCAGCAGCTCAATTATGAAGACAGCGCACCAATGGACTTCGATGCAGAGGATTTCCCGCGAGTTGAAGACGAAATGGGTGAGGGTTTAGGGTTTAGGGTTTAGGGTTTAGGGTTTAGGAGTGCTCGTTAGACGCGTGATATCTAAGACTACGGCGCGAGGGTTTGTGGAGCCCTACTAGAAGGCTCTGCCCCTAGGGTTTAGGGTTTAAGGTTTAGGGTTTAGGGTTTAGGGTTTAGGGTTTAGGGTTTATGTATGTTTGTGCAGAGTCTTTGTTGGTGGTTTCGGGGGAGAAGAGTTGGTGCCAGGGTTTGAGAGGGTTTGATCGGTTGTTTGCTTCATTTAATTTAGCTGAGGGTTTAGGGTTTAGGAAGACCAACCTGCGTGCAGCAGCAGCGTCTCGAGGTTCTGCTGCAGCAGCAGCAGCAGCAGCAGGGGACCCAGCAGCAGCAGCAGCAGCAGGGAAGTCTCAGCAGATGCTTGCTGCTCTAGACCCATTTCTTGTAGATATGAAAGACCTCAACAAACCCCTTTCTCCTTATCCTCTTCTTAAGGCAGAAAGATGCAGTCCCTGTAAGGGTTTAGGGTTTAGGGTTTAGGGTTTGGGTTTAGGGTTTGGGTTTAGGGTTTTCACGGTTCGAAGGGTTTAGGGTTTGGGTTTGGGGTTGGGGTTTAGGCTTTAGGGTTTAGGGTTTAGGGTTGGGGTTTAGGGTTTAGGGTTTAGGGTTGGGGTTTAGGGTTTAGGGTGTAGGGTTTTAACGGTTGGGAGTGTTTTGGGTTTGGGGTTAGGGTTTAGGGTTTAGGGTTTAGGGTTTAGGGTTTAGGGTTTAGGGTTTAGGGTTCCCCAAGGGTTTTGTGCTGACTCTTCTGTCTCGCAGCGGCTCCAAAGCCCATAGATAACGTCTTCGTTGCGGTGCGCCTCTAGGGTTTAGGGTTAAGGGTTTAGGGGGTTTAAAGTTTAGGGTTTAGGGTTTAGGGTTTAGGGTTTAGGGTTTGTTGCGTTGCTAGGGTTTGTGGTATGTGGCTGGAAGGGGGGCCTGATGGGTATATTTGGGTGTATTAGGGTTTATTAGGGCTTATTAGGCTGTATTAGGGTTTAGAGTTTACAAGGGTTTATAGGGCTCTATACGGGTGTATTAGGGTTTATTAGGGTTTACAACGGCTTACTAGGGTTTACAAGGGTTTATTAGGGTTTATTAGTGTTTATTAGGGTTTACAAGGGCGTATTAGGGTTTATTACGGTTTATTAGGGTTTACTGGGGTTTATTAGGGTTTACTAGGGTTTACAAGGGTTTATTAGGGCTTACTGGGGTTTATTAGGGTTTACTAGGGTTTACAAGGGTTTATTAGGGTTTACAAGGGTTTATTAGGGTTTACAAGGGTTTATTAGGGCTTACAACGGTTTATTAGGGTTTAGGGTTTAGGGTTTAGGGTTTGCGGTGCAGTGGGACATGACGAGCAGCCCCTTCTCCTCGTCGCCTCTTCTTTTTACTTCTTTTGCTGTTTTGCTGGGGAGACAGTTACTTCAAAACCCTAATTCTAATTCGTCTATCAACATCGACGAGCAGCAACAACACTTAGGTAGGGTTTAGGGTTTAGGGTTTAGGGTTTAGGGTTTTGCAGGGGTGAGGGTTTTGCAGGGTTTATTTAGGGCGTACAGTTTATTAGGGTTTATTTTAGGGTTTACTAGGGTTTATTAGGGTTTAGGGTTTAGGGTTTAGGGTTTTGCACGGTTGAGGGGTTAGGGTTAATTAGGGTTTAGGTTTTAGGGTTTACAAGGCTTTTAGAAGGGTTTAGGGTTTATTAGAACGTAGGGTTTAGGGTTTAGGGTTTGTGGAGGATTGTGCAGGGGTTAGAGTTTATTAGGGTTTATTAGGGTTTAGCATCGAAGTCGACTGAAGTGATCAGGGTTTAGGGTTTAGGGTTTAGGGTTTAGGGTTTAGGGTTTAGGGTTTAGGGTTTGTGCTACAGGAAGCAGCGGCATCGACTACGGAGACGAAGAAGGGTTTGGGGTGTCTGATGATTCTTTTCATGGT